ATAGGTAATAGATATGAAATATTAAAATTTTAAGTATTAAATATGTAAATATAATGATATAAAATAATATTTATATAAATCCCCCTTTATTTTTTAGAATATAACTAGCCAAGCCACAATATGCAAAAATAGGGTTACAAATAAAGCGAGGAAATGATTAACTTAATGGAAAGTTTGCAAACTAAAATACTCAAAAAAATACAGCTCTTCTTGATTTATTAGTTGAAAATTTGTGCTATCAATCAAGAGGTCTCTGAGTAAGTATATCTTAATTGACCTAAATGCCCCCAAAAAATATGCTGAAAAGGCTAAAAAGGCTACATGAGTGGCACAAATTACGAAAAACTATAGACTTGCTGGCTCATGGAGCTATTTGGAGAGTGAACTTGAAAATAAAAAATGTTGAAAAAACCTAACAAAATGATATTTTTTTAAGAAAAAAAATAAATAAATCTAATTTTAAAATCATTATATTTATTGAGACGAGTGCAATATATACTAAAAATAATTATTTATATCACACTCATCTCAAAATAAATTCATTAATTTTGAGATCTATCATAACATAAAATTTTGATCAGAATAGCTGTGATTTTCTCTCTATTTAAGGAACTTTTATTCTATCTAGTGAACGTACGCAGAGGAAGGTTCGGTTTTAGGCAAAAAAGCGCCTGCACCGAGTTTTTTTTTTCAGTGTACCGTACAGGCGCTTTTTTGCCTAAAACCGAACCTTCATCTGCGTACGTTTATTGGATAGAATAAAAGTTCCTATTTAAGGGGCTTTGGATGTTCTTGTTCAACAAGACAGGATTTGTCCATGTGGGAATGTATGTAAAAGAACAAATTTAGGGCATCTCCAATGGAGAACTCCATTTTTCACGGCAAAATACAACAAAACTCCAAAATGTTGTGGTGCTACTCCAATCGAACTGCATTAAATTTTGTGCAGACAATAAATTCTGTCCGAATACCAATAAAAATGCACCACGTTATCCTTTTACTGTACCGCGGCTCGGTACCGCTCGGTACCACAACATCCGGATGTAGAGCTGCATCCGGCATCCGCACAGAATAATTTCTCCTCTCAACAACACCTTGATTCTGCGACTACTTATTCCTCAATTATACAGCATAAGTTATTTTATTGCATCATCTAAAGGAAACAAAGTATCTATAATTACAGTAACATCTCAGGTCTCCAAAAAACAACTATTTCTAAATAAATCTACATTTCTCATATACTTGTACGTCTAAACTATAAATAAGCTATAAATGGACATTAATAATAACTGATACAAGATAAAAGCAAAATAAAAAAGAATTGATGTGAAAGAATGTGAATGTTTTATTGTTAAGAATGTTCGAAACTAACCAAACCCATGGAAGCTTGTAGGAGTACTGGAGCTTGAAATTGTTGGCAGCTTTAAAATAGCCACAAAACCAGACACTAGAGAAAAAATGGCAGCCAAAGCGAAGGCAGGGATGTTACCACCTCCGAAAAAAGCATCCCAAGGCCCAGCACAAAGGGAGACGATCATCTGTTGACATAAAAGACGCTGGTGAATAAGTATATATAGACTGTCCAAAACATGATTTGTCTAAGTTCATAGTAGTTGTAAGAGCATTGTAAGGATGGAAAGCAAGTGAAAACAATGATAGAAATTCAATTTTTTAAGTCCTACTTCTCTTTCATACTTCGTTTTCTTTAAAGTCGCTCCAACTTTGATTTTACTAATACGACGATAAAAACAAAAATCTATATTTTCATTTAGCATGCTAAGATCAGTAATATCGATCGAGCTCTCACAAACTTTATTTAAAAGTTTATGAAAATATCTCATCCACCTATGTTGAATATCATCTTCTAAGAAAATTAATTTTTTATATTCATCCTTAATTATTTCACTCGAACTAAATCTTCACCTCTCACATCTCTTTGCTTAGCTAACTTATGCATATATAACACAATTTTCGTACAACTCGATTCTTCTAGGTCAGCTCAAGATGCTTGCTATGCAACAAATATGCCCTTGACCAGATGAGTTTTCTTTATGATCCTAACAACAATTTAAAAAAACCAAATTCTAGTCCAATAATCCAATTTATAAATGTTGGCTTGCAAGCACCTTACAATTTACAAATTACAACTCTTACCCCCCATCATCACCGATACACTCAAGCACGCCACATTATTGACATGTAGGAGTTTCAAACTCATAGTCCATTTCCTTTTTTTTCCTTGTCATGTCAACTAGATATACATTAATCCTAACAAAACTTAGGATCGCTTTTGTTTAACGCCACCCAAACCCCAAACCCTAACCGTCGGCCTTACCCTCCCATGGATTCAAAATTGATTGTCTTGTCTCTTTAATCCCCTTAATTGCTTGGGCCCACCTCCTTAATACCTAACCCCTCTCTCTCTCCTCTCTCCTTGGCCGGCTCCTTCCCCCTCCTCTCTCTAATTAATTAGGTCCCATAAATTAAGGATCTAATTAATTCAATCCCATCCCCAGTTTCCCTCCTAATTCCCACTCGTTTCATATTCAAATTTCAAGGAAATTACTCTCTAATTACTCACTTGATCTGAAATTATTTTCAGATTTAACCCTTTTCCCTTCTTCCCCTTTGCTTGGCTGAACCTACCCGATCCCTTTCCCCTCTCACTCTCTACATTCTCTCTTAGACAATCATGCATGGTCGACCGGGATGTTGATCATGGGTTCGTAGAGGATTTTCTCGACCGGATCGACATTCTCCGATCTCCATTCTTCGATTTCAGTTTGGACGTAGACGACTCCGTGGAAAGCTACATTGAACGCATCATCTTCACGTTGGCACTGTCAATTGAGGAATACCTCCCAACCGGATCGTGGATAATCGTGGGATGTCAACCAATCCATCCGCGCCGGCTACCTTCGGTGAACTCTTTATTTTCCTCATTACTTTCAATTGTTGATTTTAATTGATTCACTGGGATCATGTTAGTCCTCCGTTAAAGCCTATAAATTATAGAGTTGTGTGAGGGATCCTTCATAGTACTAATCTCATTGTTAGTCTAGGGATTTCTTGTTGAAACTTTCCATGTATGCAATGTTAGACTAATTGATTGTTGTACGGTCTTAACCCCTACATATGTGATTTAGCCTAAGCTTACGTCACCGCTTTTTGTGTTTTATGTTGTCGTTCGAAATCACTATAAAGATATAATTATTGTGCTTTAAATATTAAGCGTGTAAATTCCTTAACCAAATCATCCTTGCATGTACCTTTCACATCAGCTTGAGAAAGAGAACAGCTTAAAAGCAAATGTTCATTAAGCCACAAGTTGAGAACACGTTGGCAAAGTTCAATTAATAAGTGTAAAATTAAGCCACGTTAGCAGATACTCTAAAAATCAACTTAAATGGGCAAAGTTAGCATACCTGAGGAACAACTATTGCAAGATTTAAAACGCCAGTAGCCAATCCTGAGCATTCATTGTTAATATACCATAATTAAGATCCAAACTGAAAGAGGTTTATATTGAAAGGCATTGGGTGCAATACAAACCTTGGCCGCCTCCTGTATCTGCCGTCAACTCAGCAGTAACAGAAAATGGTACGCTATATGTTATCTGCAGCACGTTAAAACAAGAAAATGAGTTATCTGGAGAAAAGAAATCAGACAGGGCATGGTTGAAAGAAGTGGTGCCTGGTGCTTACAGCTAAAGGAAATCCGAGAAGTGAAAAGATGACTAATGCCGCAACCTTAATGGCCTGGTTCGCTCCAACTACACGCTGAATTCCTTTGGAATGCTCACTAGAAGACAACAAACTTACAATTGTTGTTGCTGTCATGCACACAAAAACAATGAAGTTGCTCAAAGCCCAAAGTAGTTTTGCACCCATTTTCTGACGCATTGGCTCAATTAGGAGGGAGGTCATCCCAAGCACAACCTGATTAGAGGTTTAACCTTGAGGATTCCGCCACTATAGAGAGAGAGAGAGAGAGCGAGAGAGTAAAAGCATGGGTTCTTACTGAATTCAATAGTAAACCGAAAGAACCTTCTCTAACACCATTTTGATAAGCTTCCATTTCATTTGCATTCCCCTTTGGATTCCCATGGTAGACTTCACGTCCCATCCAATCAGTATCAAAAAGGAAAAACGGGAACCATGACAACTGTTTATATAAGATCTCATAGTAGTTACAACATAAAAATACACTATATGAATTGAGAAACTAGTAAGTCAAATATCAGCGGAAAAAATGATGGAAAATGGAATTTTATAAGCCTTTTAATAGACATAAAAATGATGAAAGTTCCTAGTGAAATATGCAATGGGGAAATACGCACCCAGGTAAAAGCCATCACGATGAGCACTGAATGCATTCCAGGCGGCAAATGCCTCAAACTTGTTAAAATGTTAACTAAGACTGCTGACGGCCCATTTTTAAATGCTTCAAATTCATCCTTCTCAGCACTAGAATCGAATAATGAAACATCACCAGAGTTAGATTTATGAACTCCCGCATTGTTTTCATAATTTTGATCAACCTCTGCCCTCTCAAATATTTCATTTGGTAATACGAAGCCATTTTGCTGAGTTTCTTTCAGTAAAGGGGCAGAATCAGAAAGCATCGGTACAGGTCTAGCTCCAGGTGGAACTTCTTCAAGGTTATTTTGCTGATTATCACTCAGTAGTGGGGATGAGTCCGACAACCTTTGCAGGGGCCTAACTTCTAGCGGTACTTCTTTAGCATAATATATCGTTATCAGCATACAAAACATGAGAAAGGCCTGGCATGAGAAGAAAAGTTTACTTAAAAGTTTTTAGAGGATTATAAACGGATTGCTCAAATTGAACATAAAAAACCCTGATAAACTTCCTAAATTCACGCTTCATAATCAGCCTAAAGAAATACGAGAAAATATGAAAGAAAAGTATGTCAAACTCATCATGGAGACATTAAGTATAATTTTGGAAATAAAACACGTGGTGCACCAAAACCAATTATATAATTTTAATTTTGCTTTCGGATTTTTTAAATTGCTCACGATTTTTTAATTAACCAATTATATAATTTTTTGTTCTCAGAAAATTAATTAATAATTCTAATTAATTAATTTTGATTAATTAGTTTTAACTAACCAACTAATTTGATTACTTAATTAAAATTGATTAACTAATTTTAGTTAATTTCAATTAACCAATTAATTTTGATTAATTAATTTTAATTAATCAATTGATTTTAATTGATTAATTTTAACCGACCAATTAATTTTGATTAAATAAATTTAATTAATTAGTTTTAAATCAATTGGTTATTTTTAATTAATTAATTTTAATTAATTATTTATTTCAATTAATTAACTTTCATTAATTAATTTTTAATTAAAAATAATCAATTGATTAATCAAAATCAAAATTGCTCTTCAGCTGCTTCAATAGAGAATCTCCAATCTCCCGAGCGATTCCATAGTAGGTTACGTTTTGCCTATTTCATCAATAATTTGATGTTTTTTCATATTTTCCCGATCAAATTTGTATTTCCGTTATAAAAAAATGAGGATAACTTTGTTTTGGTAAAACTTTTACCGCGTAAATTTTTATATGTTATAGAGATTGTGAATCCGAACATTTTGAGCATATTTTGAAAAATTTTCACCGGGTGGTTTGAAAAAACTGTGATTTTTTACTACTCAAAAATTTATTTTGACATCTAAAAATAGTGCTTCAATTTAATTAAAGCTTCATAATGATATTTCACACAATCTCTGATAATTTAGTTATGTTTGAAAATTGTGAATTTTTGCTCAGTAGTATTTTTATTGCCTACCATTACGACATTTTGATAATTTCTGAATCGAGTCCAATTATGCTTTAATTGATGAAATGCATTGAAAAATATGTTGTAAAGTGTTGTGATGAGATGTCAACTCCAGTGAACCACTGCTGTGAAATTCTGTTATGTCGGCGCCAATGGGCTACCAAGGTGGGATTCTACTACCGAAGTGTTGTGATGCTAGCGCTAGTGGGCGACCGAGGTGGGATTTTGGTCACGAAGATATATGAAAATTTGAGCTTAAAAGTTATTCTGATAATAATTATGAATTGTTTATTTATAATTCAGTTAGTTTTGTATTTATTTAATTGTATTCAATTTTATTATACGAATCAGATCAGTTTCAGTTATTTTAGTTTTAGTTATTGATTTTTATTTTAGGCTACGATAGCCTACTGAGCCGTATTAGCTCATCCATGTTTTTGCTTTTATTTTCAGGCTCGGGGAAGGGTAAGGAGCGAGTTGTAGTTTGGATAATAGGCTATGATATGTGTTGTAGGTATGTTTTGGTTAATTTTGATTTTTGCATACTTGACTTTTATTTTTATTATGCTCTCTGTTACCAAGCGCTGTTATATATAACCTTCATATTATATGTTTGTGGATGATATATAGAAAATCATGTTGAGATTCAATAGTCTTCTATTTTATATTGCATTCAATAGTGACTCTGTGTAATATATAAATTGAAAGTTGACTCTGTGTAATATATAAATTGAAAGTTTTTGTTGGCTCAAGAAAAACGGCACGAATCCCGCTTTGCAGCCATAGGATTCTATTCCCCTTAAGTTAGATTGTAGTCAACCAGATTTGCCCTGAGAGTAGTGTCAGGGTTTAAAGATCTGGGGTCCTTACTTCCCATGAGCGTAAACACATAAGAGAGAACTCTCGATTAAGGATGAATAGATTTTAGATATTTTTAGTCTCAATAGTGTAGAAAATGGAGGTAAACCCGATCAAGATACCATGGTTCCATCGTCCCGGGTATACCGTAGATTTTAGTCTACCAACACTAACAATGATTGCTCATAGTGTCCATGGAATCTGATTAGTAGCCATGGGTTGCCTCCTCTCAGAGATTCGGAGTAGACTGAAGTGGTTAGATGTGTATTTTAATTTTATTGGGTGTTTTGGGTTTTACATCTATTAGAATACCCCAAATTAATTTAGTTTGAAATTTATAACTTCGTTTAGAAGTAACCCATGAGTTTGGTTTGAAGCTGGTCTTATGGCTTCTTTAGGAAGTAGCCCAGGTATTTAGATTTAGGTTGAGATTTACGGCTTCCGTATAAAGTAACCCAGGCATTTGATTTGAAATAAGGCTTACTGCTCTATTTATGAGTTGCCCAAAGATGGGTCTTACAACCTAACTCTACAGTGAGGTTGCTTGTAGGTTTTAATTATTTGGATAGGACTTATTATTTCCCTTAGGAAGTTGCCTTAAAAGCGGGTCTTACAACTTAATCTTTATAGACTAAGATGCCCATAGGTTTAAATTTGATTGTTTGGAATTTAGGATCATCGCTATTTATTTAACAATTTTTCTAAAACGTGGGACTTACGACTTCACTTAGAAGTAGCCCGCTAGTGGGTCTTACAACCTAACCCTATGGTTAGGATTAGGGGTGCAAACGAGTCGAGTCGAGCTCGAGTCAGGGGGTGTTCGAGCTCGACTTGTGAGTCCAATATCGAGCTTGAACTCAAGTCAAGCTCAAAAGTCGAGCTCAAGCTCGACTCGCGATACTGTAACGAGTCATCGAGCTTCTCGTCTAGCTTTCCCGCCCGACCTTTTGTTTTCTCGCCCAATTTTACCAATGCTAATAAACAGCTACGACATTCCAAAAAAAAAAAAACCGCTTTGGGAGAAAAAAAAACTGCTACGGCAGTATAATGCTTCTTATTATATTATTTGTTAGGAAAAAAAACTGCCAACATTTGTTAGCATTTATTAAAATAGATATTTGAGAGAAGACTTTTGAATTTTTATATTAAGTTGCCATTTTGGTAGAAAAATACTGACATCAAACATATTTTTTAAAAACTTAATTTATTACTTATAAATATAATAAAAAAATTGGCTCAAAGTACTATTTTCGAGCCGGCTCAAGCTCGAACTCGAGCTCGTTTACGAAATGAGCTTGAACTCGAGCTCGATAAGCTCAGCTCGCGAGCCCATAAACGAGTAGAGCTCGAGCCGGCTCGGCTGACTTACACCCCTAGCTAAGATGCCCGAAGGCTTTAATTATTTGGGTAGGAGATCCTACGATAGAAATTCCACATGTTTTCAATATAGGAATCATAATTATTGTATTTCAAAGCATTATTTAAAGATGAAATTCTCTCTTGAAGCTTTTGCCTTAATTTTTTAATAAGAGTTGTCCATGTGATTAGATTGGGTAGGGGCTTATGGTTTTCATTAGAAAGTAGCCTAAGTTAATGGGACTTATAACCTCTACTAAGAGTAGCCTAAAGATTTTAGTTGGGTAGTTCTTATTGCTTTCTTAAAAGTTGCCTAACGATGGATCTTACGACCTAGCCCTGTAAGCTAAGGGGCTGGGTCTTATAACCAAGCCCTATAGACTAGGATGCCCGAATGAGGGGTCTAGGGTTGTATTATCACTTAGTTATTTCCCTCAGAGGTCGGACTTACGACTTCTATTAGAAGTTGTCAGAGGATGGGTCTTACAACCTAATTCTTATAAATAAGACTGCCCAAAGATTTTGAATTTGATTGTGTTTGTTGAGTTGACATTAGTGTTTTGAGATGTTTGACACTTGCGTTAGTGTTTTAGTTGTTCTGTGTTCGTAGACTTTTTCCTACTACAGTAGTCCACTATTCTACTCGTTTTCTAGCACTGTTACTATACTAGTTTTTTAGTACTTAGTTTTTCTTGCTTTCCAGTACTTTGTTTTACCTGCAATAGCTTAGATTTATCATCATTCATTCAATTTATTTATGATGTACTGACTCTTCATTTATTTGTTTGCAGGTGTTCGTAGTCAGTAGTTACAGTAACCGGGGCTTGTAATTGCAGAGGATAGAGCCCACAAGTAGCTTTAGGAGCTCATACATGGGAGCTTTGGAGAGCATGCAGAGGAGTTCAGTTTGAGTGTATTGAGTTGTTTGTATTGTTATTGGAGAGTTTGAGAGTTTTAGGATTTGATTTGATTTGTTTTGAGTATTGGAGAATGTTTTGAGAGTTATTGTGAAAGTTGTACATAGCTCATTTAGTGTGAACATGTTCTGGATTTTATTTGATTTAATTGCACTAATTAATTATGAATTAAATGATTTGTAAGTTAAAATTAAGTTTTATTTAAAATTAAATGCCCAACATGAATAAAAAATGTATTTTAAAACTGATATTATTAAATTGATTGTTTGATAATTATTAACTAAATGCAACGAGCAAATTTACTTCATGGATTATCAAGTTTAAATGATTTACTCATTAGGCTCCTTTTAACTGCTCAATTAAATTTAATTAAGAAGTTGTAAATTATCATTTACTTATTCAATTGAATGCTCTCCAATTTGTATGAGTAATATTTTCGAGAAAATTTCGGCAACCTCCCGGCGTCACCTCCCCATCGAGGGAGAAATCGGGGCGGCATTTGCCGAAATTTCTTTCTACCCGAACCTAAGGTCAACGGCGTAGGACCTTCGAATTTAAATCATCCTACCATGATCTAAGATCGACTGCGTGGGGTCTTCGAATTAAAAACATTTTTTATGAGAAATGCGCTTCCCAATGCTAACTTCACTGACGTTGGTGGATTTGAAGTTCTCCTTTGTGGTTGAAGATTTGGAGCCTACACACATTTGGTAGTTTGCTCGATATCCCTTCTTTCCACTGGAACTTTGATTCTCCAGACATTTGGGAGAATTTCGTAGACTACGGAGGTGGGACCGGTGTCGGTTGTGTCGAGTATGTCGGTGAGGGATTTCGTCTGATGTGGAGCCAGTCGTGTGTGATAGTTACAGTCAAAATTGAATTATTTAGACGATAGTTGAAATCACTATTAGCACCCGACGACTTGCATCGGGGTTTGAGTGAAATCGAATAGTAATAAAGGAGTCGAAGAAGTTAAGGTGCTTGTGCCTCATGAAGCAAGGAAATCAGACATCAACAAAGGAGCCCGAGAGCGACTCGTGTGATCTCTATACCTGTGAGGCGTCGAAGTCGGACAACAAGGGAGCCGCAGAAGGGACGTGCGATCTCTACCCCTCCTGCGAAGAGACGAAGTCGGACATCAAAGAGGGAGCCGAAGTCGAACAACAACGAGCGAGCCGAAGTCGAACATCAAGGGGAGGAGCCGAAGGAGCGTCGCATGCAACCTCTATACCTCCCGCGAAGTGACGGAGTCGGACAACAACGAAGGAGCGGAAGAAGCTACGCGTGCAATCTCTTCTCCTCTTGCGAAGCAACGAAACCGAACATCAATGACGAAAAGAGAAGATGAAAGGCGAACCCTAGACTCCTCCTGCGAAGCAACGAAGTCGAACAGGAACGACGGAGTAGAAGCGAGAGAGCGAGCGTACCAGAACGAAACAGTGTGTCGTTTGGCGAGGTGGGGCCGACGGAGGCAATTGCTTTTCATGCGTTCAAATTTTTTTTTCTTTTTTTAGTTAACAGTTTTATTTTAATACTTCTCCAATTAGATCTTATGATCAGTCTTGTCATAGTTTCGGATTATATCGGATCAGATTGTAACAATATGGTTGTTTCCATGATCTTAATTCTACACTACATTTAAGCAAGGTTTGACAAAGTTATAAATTAAGGATGCCACAACCACACAAAATAGAGGAATTCCTTAGTTCAAAAACTCTAGTAAAATGTTAATATTAAAGAAAAAAACTCACTCCTGCTAGCTATTACAAAAATTTAACTACAAACTCGCTCATCAAATGAAATTTATTGGCAGATAACTGCCAAAGGATAGATCTATTGAAGTTTTTCTTCATCTTTCAAGTGGTAGGAAGCACCTATCTATGACTACAAGAGATAATTTCACAACAAATAGAAAAAATTCTTGTTTGCAGCAAAAACGAATGAAAGAACAATTCATCTATATTAATGAATTTACCACAATGATTTCATGTCCTTCATACTTTTAAAATAAATTGATGAGCACGGAAAACAACTCAACATATGGATATACCAAGCAGAGACAAAAAAAACGTATGCCAATATGAAAACCACCACTCACCACAGCAACTAAGAAAGCTGCCTTCAAGTTCACACATGCCTCACAGCAAGCTCTACTAGCCAAAAAAGGGAACAACCTGCTTAAAAGAAGGAATAAGATTATATTTTGGATGACAAAGTACGTTCTTAAAATACTAAAAAGGAAAGAACTATTGCAATAAAAATGCTGCATTTTACTGCATGGCAAATAGGTAATTTTAAACATTGAACACGACAACATTGGAGCTGTCTTTGTGAGATGTCATGGGAGATTATCATCATTGTAGTCAATTTTACAGCCATTGGTGAATTCTTGACTTGGGCGCACCAAAACAAAAATTTAAGGACTTGAATATATATAAAAGAGAATTAAGGGGGCAAATAAACGACATGAAGTGCCAAAAAGCAAACAATGAAACTCATAGGGCCACTGATGGCCTCATCTACATTCTGGTTTCTTAAAACAAGAAGTTAATCTACATAATGCTAAGGAAAACCTAAACAAGCTTAGAATACATGTAAAAATATTAGAAAAAGGAGTGCTGATGTGATACCACTAGGAGTTACTTGAGAAATTAAAAATCGATTGATCTAAATCTCGCTAATGTAAAATTATTGCTTGCAACAAAGAAAGATCATAGAATTCAAGCTAGTCGGTTTGCTTAGGCAAAGGAGTGCTCTTGAGATTAACCAAACAATTCAATCAAAATTCAAAGATAAAAGTAAATGTTACAAGCTCATTACATAATCCAACACTTAATAACGAGAGGTTCACCTTGAGTACCTTCTCACTCAACCACTCGTAGGCTTTAGCGGAGAAAGATGAACCATACGAAGAAGGATATTACCACTAGGTAGACGGCGCCGAGGACCTTCGTTGACGAAGCGGTAGCCGGTGGTTGAGGAGGCGGTGGGTGGCCGACGATGATCCAACGACTTGGTCGAAGATGCTCTTCAATCGACAATGTCAATTGGTACAGGATGTGGTCGATGTACCCTTCAATAGTTTCGTCGTTGCCAAAGAAAATGTCAAAGTATGGGGATCCAAGGATATTCATCCTTCCTTCCTCGTCGAATATGAATTCGTGGTCGATTTCAGGATCAATCATGCTCCATTGACAAGAGAGAGGAGAGAACACAAGGAGGTGGAAGTAGGAGAGAAAGTGGTGATGGAGAGAGGGGCCGACGGCTTGAGTAGGAGGGAGAGGGGTGGGACGGCTTGAGGAAGTGGGGAGGTGGCTAGGGTTTGAAAGGGGAGGAGTTTGGAAATAGGTAATTTGAATTTAATTTCAGTTTAAGTGAATTTAGAGGGAAATATTTTGAAATTAAATTCAAATTTCAAATAAGGCTTAGGGGTTAAATGAGAATTGAATGGGAGGAGCCCATCATGGGGCTGGTGGCTTAATGAGGGGGAGGAGGGGATTGGGTTGAACATTGCTTTTGCATTCATCTAAAAGTGGCCATTACAAAATTCTTACAAAAACCAAAAAGGAAGAAAAACAAAGGACCCTTAACCCGGGTCGCACCCAAAACTATCATCCTCAAGGATGGAAAAAAACTCTTGAGGAATACATATATTTTGTATATCACCAATATCCCAAACAAAACTATCCTCAATCGCTCTTTGAGCGCAAAAATGAGCCGCCATGTTGTGTTCACGGTAAGTGTGAACAAAGAGAACCTTTGAAATTCCTTTAGCCAGTTTAGCTTGTCTCCCTCCTCAGGCCGGTGTCCCCATTGCTCTCGTTGCTGGCACTTGTGCATGAACTCCATCACGCTCTCGTTATCCCCCTCCCAATGACACCCTCCACATCATACATCCATTGCAAAAGCAACTTCTCGATAAAATATACAGCCATGATCTCCACTTGGGTGCTGTCCCAGTGGGTAATAGTCCATCCTGCCGCCACAATAAGTCTTCCATGATCATCCCGGATGACAATTCCGATCCCCCCAGCATTGTTCCTACGCAGAGCACCGTCAACATTGATTTTCAGCCAACCAGTAGGAGGGGACACCAAGAAAGAGAGTGTAACAATCCAGAGGATTGGCGAGTGACCCGTTGCTCCCGGTATAGAGGAAAAAAACATTGTGGTGCGGAACCGAGAACTCTAGCAGCCAACGTGGTACAGGGGATCACGGTCTTGCCATGCTGGATTGCATTTCGATTGCTCCAGCTGTGATAGACCGCCGCACAATAAAGCTTTGCCCACCGCGATCCAACCTTCAAACTCCGCATGAGCTCCTCGAGGGAAGAAAAGCTAGGAGTAGGGAACCCCCAAGCATCCAATCGTAGCAAAATGTTCTTGAGCTGTTGGTATTGAGTGGTGATATGATCCAGATCCTCCAGCTGATTACATCCGATCGGGCAAGACGTCGCAGCCCCCAACCCCCGTCGATGCAGCCACGAGAAGGTGGGTAGCAGATCCTTGGAAACCCGCCACCAGAAGATGCGTTCCCGAGATCGCAGTCCAATTTTGAAGAAAACATACGCAGGATCGTTCTCCCCATGGAACTGCGAGTTATAGCAAATTGACGACACAGACGTTCCTAACGGGCATTTAATAAGTTCCAACGAATCACGCTCAGTATTCGCCCAGATCCGCACCTCACAGATTCTGTCCACAAGGGAAGTTCCAAAGCATTGTAGCAGCTTTGGGCGGTTCCACCCCATTCCGGGATTGATAAAATCCTCCACCGAGCAGCCATCAATGTCCTCAATGTTGCAGTAAGTAGGCCACAACGAGATGGGGATGTCCAATATCCACACATGATTAACCACATCAATCTCCTCGCCGTTTGCCACCTTCCAGCGGACACAATTAGACAAGCTATCAGCCCCGTTGCATATGATTTTCCAGCCACACGAATCCTCCCTGTTCCGATCCTGTCCCCAAGGCCAAGCCCCGTATCTATGTCTCATACATCTTTGGAAGAGGCCTAATGGCTTACATAAAAAATCCCAGGCAATACGTGCTCGCAACGGGCCAATCCAGTTCCGACTGGCATGGAAGCCGAGACCGCCCAAATGCTTCGGCTTGGTAAGGTTGCCCCAAGCCGCATAGTGCAGGCTCTTATGACTTGGATCATGCTCCCAAAGAAAGCGACGGCATATTCTCTCCAATTCAGCAAGAACCCCCCGAGGAACAAGCATATGAGTCACCGCAAATGTCGATAGCGAGAGCAGCACCGAATTGAGCATAGTGATTCTGCCAGCGAGCGATAAATGTCGTGTCCCCCACGCCAGTGTATAATTGTGCAGTTTCAGCAGTAAAGGTCCAAAGTCCGCCTTCGTCAAGCGACGCATAACAAATTTGATTCCAAGGTAATCCATCTCCTCCACCTTGCGGCATCCAGCGAGTCTGGCTAAGCGGTGTTTGGTGGAAGATTGCACACGTTTGCTGAAAAGAATAGCCGACTTGTTCCTATTGATTCGCTGTCCCGTCCAACCGCAGTAGTCTTCCAATATGGTTAAAACCTTCCTCACATTGGGGATAGTAGCACCTGCAAAAAATAACACATCATCAGCATAAAAGAGGTGGGACACGAGGGGTCCCCCCTCCCGGATTTGCACACCCAGGTCCCGGTAATTTTGTTGGAAGTGTAGTGACAGGAGCTCCGAGCAAAGAATGAACAAATAGGGAGAAAGCGGGCATCCCTGTCGGAACCCACAGTCAGCCGAAATCCCTTCCGTCAGCATGCCGTTTACCAAGATGGTGAAACGGGGAGCAGTTACACAATTTAGCACCCACGATCGGAATCGTAGAGGGAAGCCCATCTTCAGTAGTACCAATTCCAAGGTTTAGGGGATTGGGGGGAGGAATTATTAGCTTCCAAACAAGTCTTGAGAATTAGAAAAGCTAATATTAAATCCAATCTAATTTAATTTCAGATTGGACTCATGATTATATACTTTCCTTATTTGGACTTTTCAAATATGAAAATTATTTGAAATTCAAATTTGAATTTTAAATGAATTCAAATGTTTCCTTTTCTTGTCTGAGCTAATCTAGGGAGTCATTATGATGATTGGAATCATCATAATGATGGGGAGTGATGAGGTGGCCGGCGGCAAGGGGAAGAGGGAGAGATTGGCGCCGGGTTGGGGCGGGGAGAGGGAATAAGCCGGCGGGTGGGGGTTGGCGCAAATAGCGCGCGCTATTTTAAACACATGCGCCTCGCCATGAACATGGCGCCGTAGGTGCGCCGCGCCGTGCGCCATGGCGCGCGCTATTTTGCGCCATTGACAGCTATGGTGGCGGCTAAGGGATTAGGTGGGTGGGGTGGGGGAAAGGAGGAGAAGAATACAAGAAAATAAAAGAAACCACGAGCCGCAGACTCTTCCAATGACTGGTGGGTATTGCACTTGCTCATTTTGAGCTCTCTCTCCCTTCTGTGTAGTGCACTCACAAGAAGAAGAAGAAGAAAAACACATAAAATTTCATTATCAAATCATCCTCTTCTTACAATAGATGGGGCCTCAATATATAGGCATGAAATAAAAATAAAGAAAAGACATAAATGCCCCTTGGGCTACAACTCCCATAGACTCAAATAAAAGGGTACAAACGGAACTAGCAAACAAACATAACATAAAATATAAATGCATCAAAAAATAAAGGTGCTTAATCGTAGCCGTTAATCTACGATTTCATCGTCGGTACACATGTCCGAATCTCTGAATGATGTCCTCATCAAGTGCACGGTAAATAATTATCTTTTTTGTCACATCAACACTCTATCTTAAGATTTGCAACAGGGAATTAAATTCAAAAAGCATGCATTTGTTAGCTCCTGAAGAAAAGCTCTCAAGGTCATAGACTTATGGATTAATAAGATCTAGCAATGCTCAGATTACACATATGATGCTCTATTATTGTTCTAATTATTGTGGACTACAACACATGTTTAAAATTCATTAAATAATTGTGGCTCCTTAGATAGAGGTGTCAGACTATCAATTGATGTTGGTGGTAGATACTAACCGCGTAGGGGTCATGTACCACCTAGATTATGAGTTATGATTGGACCTAGTGACTCGTGTAAGATTTTTTAACACAACAATCTTTCTAAGCAAGAATAATCAAAATGAATGATTTTGAAGGGCTCGATGCAAGAAACAATATGTAGCAAGACAAGACGCTTGATAGCTTCACGTGTAACATTGCCTTATTTTGTGTTTGTAGTCCAAGAGGTGTAGTCTCAAGGAGGATGAGAGAGGTAATATCGCAAATGAAGATGTCAACATAGCTGTGGTCTATGTTGACATGTTAGATGAAGCAAAAGTGGCTCGCAAATGGATGTATGCAAGTGTTAAGTTTGGAAAAAATAAATTGTGCATGTCAATAAGGCAACATAAAAGAAGAACGGAATTGGAGATAACAATGCATTTCAGATATTTGGCAATGAACATATTTTTAGGTGCTACATCAAAATTAAAGATGCTTTATTATCATAATTTTTTTGCAAAAATATGCATCTAAACCTGTGAAATTAAGAAATCTCAAAAATCGAAATCATATTTTTGTAAAATTAGTGGATTTCTCCTAAAAATGACAGATATTATTATTACTTGTTCAATCAAGTCTCTACTCCATCCAAATTGAAAATTATACTGAAGGAGATAAATGCAGATCATGTAGAAATTATCATAGCTCTGACATTTAAAATATGATGCATGGTATAGTTTTGAATTCTCCTAATCTACAAGTCTAACAACTTATGAAGAGCACTTCAAGATTGTTTGATGTCATTATTATATTTTTCTTTTGTACAAGACCTTATTAAGAATATATTTTTATTTTGTTTACATTTTTCTACAGAATTCTTGAGTAGCATGGGCTTGACACTTATGATTATTAAACTTATGAGACCAAAGCAGCTGCAAACCAAGATAAGCTCAGTTTTCACTCTTTCATAGTTGCAAATTTATGTCCTAATAAAAAGATAGTAAATGCATCTAAGTAAATCAACCACTAGGAAAAAGCAGAAAACATGATTTACTTCATTATATTTCAAGTTTTCAAATAACCATTATCATTAGACATTGACATGATTTGACATGGCTGTGGAGGATCTATCCTACCATCACACATCACCTCTAACTGGTTGCATCGACCACACCAACTAGTTAATAGGCCGTAATAAGACAGGTGTACTTGGGAACCCAATTTTTAATGGTGGAGACAAAGCCGCATGACCTTGAGGGGTGTGCCAGCTAGCATTTCCATACTACCCATAGGCGGCCAGCCACACCAAATAATCTCATATAAGAGTCTTTAGAAAACTATAAGTTGATAATCTTGTGTACCTGTGCCAATTCCCACTAGCACCAGATGAAAATCCTAGTATATTTCCCACAGCCATCCAAGAGCAAAATATTGCATTTGCTAAGCTGCGCTGCTCAGGACCTATAACAAGACATACATTCAATACAAATAGTAAATTTTTTGGAGATCACAATTAAAATTTATCTCAAGGTCAATTTAATCTGAACTAACCAACGAATGAGAAAGATCACCTGAAAGATCAGCCAACAGCGCACGTGCAGGACCCTATAGCATATGATAAATGACATTAAGAATACATGAAACTTTAGTTATTTTGGAATTCAGAAGTGTACCTGTACTGTATTATTTGCAAGATCAAGCATCCAAAATCCAAAAATGAACACAGCTGATGCACGCCATCGAGGACCTTTATATTTGCTGGTCGTATAAAAGCTTAGATTATGGAATAAATAATTCTAATCAATCATAAAAAGGAAGAAGATAATTGAAAAATTACTCGCAATTTTCTTGTGTATCTCCTAAGAGGTATCCAATGTCTGCAGCAAAACCAATAAATAAAACCTAAAAAATACCAAAGCCTGCATATGTTCAGACTAATGATAGTACATAACAAAAAAAAAAAATTAGAGCAAAAGCTTCTATAAGCAAATAATTGTGCTCACAGCAAGAGTTATCATCATGCACCCTACAACAATAAAAGGTCGCCTTCTTCCATATTTAGAATTGCACTTGTCACTCCATACACCGACGCATGGTTGGACCTGTGGAATAGAACTAGATTACACAGTTGACAATAAGAGTTACCACAGAAGCCGTGTAGCTTATTGTTTTTAAGTAATAGTAAACACTAAACTGTCATAAGCATCGACAAAAAAAAATACAATGAAAAATTGCTCGAAATTCAAGAGTAATTTATCAATGCTAGTACAAAAAAGAATGGAATAGGAACCATTAGTAATTAAGGGTTTCTTGATACAACTTGAACAAATGGATGCTTAAAGTACAACATCAGATGAACATGCTGTTTGGCCTATACTTTGTCTATTCTTTTAAAGATGTTTTTTACTCTCCTTTCTAATAGATGACATGCTTGCATACAAATTGAAAACAATGAGAACTATACAAACACAAAAAATGCATTCTCTTAGTCATAAGAAGAGGATTGAAAACTTGGTGGGGTTGATTACCAAACACATTTTCTAGAATTAGTCGTCAAATTATCACTTCAAAAAGTAAAAGAGAGAATTTAATGGAGCTCTGCCATGGAACTATAAGAACGGGTATCTTATATGGTCAAACATATTTAAATATTAGACTTTAAAAAATAAAAGTTAGCAAAACTACAAAATAAATGAAAATAAAAGGAATTCTTACAATGAAGCCGGTGATTGGTCCACAAAGCCAAATGAAGGAAGAAAATGCATGCTCTATTCCAAGAGTCTGCAAAACAAATTAAAATTATGTTCACTTTTCCTCTTGATGAGGTGATATATCATATAAGAAATGTCAAAGTAGAAGATTAATGCGCTTTGCAGACATCAAAGTAGGTTATAGGGAAAAGCAGTGCTCGAGAGAGCCTTGAAATATAAAATTATTAGCAACTAAAAGACTATATTGACATAAAATTGGGGTCTTAGGTTTAAATGTACATCAATGAGCAAAGTAGAAGGAAAAAAGAAAAACTCAAACTACCACATACGATAAGTACAGGCTGCATGAGTGTATGCTCACTTTTCTTAGGTATCAAAAACACAACAAAAAACAATTTTCCTCTACATTCTATTGTATAGCCGAAAACAGTTGATCACAAAATTCTTAGCCTAAGCTTGTCTAAGAAATACAAATAACACTTTGTAGCAATGTTAACAGATATTTATCCTTGCCCATGAAAAATCTTCAATAACATTTTTTGCATAAACCTCCTTAAAATCCCATAAAAAATCACGTTATGCTTCAAACTTATTATTGCAAGAGGATTCTACCACATGTTCACAACCAGCTAAAAATAAATGGGCTGTAAAATTTATCTTAAAACTCTCCAAGAAAATGTATAAAAATTAACTCAAGCAATCAGCGACGGTAAACAGAAAGACATTCACATAAAGAGCAACACTTCATCAGTATAAAATCTCATCAAGGCTCTATAATGAGATCAGTTTCGAGATATTTGTAAGAGAATGTTCGACAAACCTTAAAAGAATAGTATTCCTTATCATTCATTGCTATATTTATAGGTTCATGACTAAAGGTATAAATGCACCTAATCAATCACAACCAAACTTATTTCCATACACTTCTGGTTCATTAGCAGCATATAGTCGCTTAACAAAAGCAAAGTAACATCAAATTCTACGAACACCGATCACACAGGAGAATATCAAATACAACTTCTTTGATTTACCTTCTACTAATATATCTTAATTTACTCTTCTGGATTTCTCCGTTATCAAGGGGTTGTTTGCTATACTATTTAGGATTTAATGCCTCAAAACTTACTAAATCTGGATTTACAGTATTTACTAAATTCTACTTGGATTCGATCCTATTTGCAACCAAATAAACCTTAAATATGGTTACACTAAATCCTTCATATAGCCAAACAACCCTCTAAATCATACCGTAATCTTAAACGTACTGATGCATTTTCCGAAACAGTTGAATCCCAAACTCTTCCAATCGAAAAAAAGACGAAACTTGCAAAACTGGATCAAGATAACAAGAAATTACCTGAATGTAGGGAGTCAATAGCGATAACTGCAGCGCCCAACCGAACTGGACTCCAGCGCCGACCATCGATCCAAAAATTAGCGTCTTCAAGCTGCTTCCCTGCCTCCCGCCGGACTGCGAAGCAGAATAATCGAAATGCGTGGACGAAGACGGTGACGAATCAGACACCGGGAGCCTCGTCGGGGCCCCGCCGGTGTTCCTGTCCTCGATCTCTCCAACAAGTTCAACAAGCTCCAGCTCCGCCTCATTCAGGTGGCGGTACGGTACGCGGATGGAGACCGCGCCATCCATTCCTCCGTGTATTCGTTATCCAGATCTGAAGCACCGAAGAGGATGCAGCAACGAATCGGGAGTAAATCAAAACGGTAAAGTTTTGATGGATATAGGGCGGCTATGATTTCCCGAGCTGCTGATCGGAAAAGGGAGAGGTGAGGATAGAGGTGATGAGGTTCTTCTTCGTTCGAGAGTCAATTTTCGCCGTTGGTCGCAAATTTTGTAGCTCGGAGGGAAGGGAGCAGCGACCCGAGAAAATTCACTTTGACTTATTTAAATTTGACCAGTAACCTGTCTTATTTAAAGATAAATTTTAAAATTTAAAATTTATATTTGATTATATATCATTTTAATACTTAAATAATATAAAAGCATATGTGCAAAAAAAATATGCTTTATTCTAAATAGATTAATAATATTTCTAATTTTGTGTAATTTAAACATTTGAATATTTTATAAATAAAAAGATTTAGATGTTAGATATTCAAATATATACAAATATGAATTATGTGTGTGCAAATTCCCCGCAAATTTTAAAAGAGCGTACATTAGGTTAATTTTGTTTTTTGAGAGTTGGTCACAATTAATTTAAATTGAAATAAAAATTCTTGTTTGAAATTCGGAGTGTCAGAATTGGGTTTTGGGTCGGATTCAGGTCAAACCAGAATTGCCCCGGGTTCATACGGGTCGACCCTAACCTGACCCGGTTATGTAAATGGGTCGGAAATTCGGACTCGGACCCGACCCATCATGTTACATGGTTGACCTGACCCGACATGGTTGACGGTGGGACGGCGGACGGCAAGGCTCGCGACGAGGGAAGCCTCGGTCATGGGTGCGGGCAGCTTGAATGCAACGCATGCGGGGGGTGGGCAGGTGCAGGCAGCTCGGACGCGACACAGGCGGGCTCAAGCAAGCTCGGGCAGTGCGGTCAACTCATTTCAAACAGGTTTTTAGGTTATCCCGAATCTGACCCATTTTTTCAAACGGGCTGAATCCGGGAACATGAACTTGACCTATTTTGAAATCGAGTCAGGTATAACCCAAATTTTTTTGGTCGATTTTTTATGTCAAGTCAAATATTGACACCCATATTTGAAATATCAATAAAGACTGAGCAAACTTCTACATTGTGAGTAGCAGGATCATAAGGTTTGGGTCCAATCCAAAATTAATTGACTTGACCCGAATCCGGTCAACCTAAATCCGACTAATTTAATAAATGGATTAAAACACAAACTCAATCTCGACCCGCTAGCAACATGAATGTCCTGAATCCTGCCTTTTAACTCATTTTAGTTAAAAAAAAATTGTTATAACTTGTTAAATATTAAGCTTATGATATTTGATCAAAAATAAAAAGACTACTAACAAGTAAAAAAGTTATGGAAAAATGATATTAAATTAATCATTTTGGATTAAAAACAGGTTCGCGGATCAACCCGAACCCAACCTATTTAATAAATAGGTCAAAAAATCCAGCACGAACTTAACCCGTTTATTAAACTGGTCAACTCAAACCTAAAGTTTTAGATCAAATCATTTATTGACACCCCTAATTGAACTTATATCCTAATCAATAGGCTTATATGACATGTTGTCTTTTGCCACCACAAAAACATTATAAAACCCATATAAAATGTCTTAAGGTACCATATTTTTATATGTGAAAATTAATGGTCTTACTTATACAATTGAATCAACCATGCTTTTGACACATTCAATCTATTTGGTAGGACAATATATCAATATTGATTCAAACTTTTGACAACTTTTTAAATGAATTTTAGTTAATATTTTCTTAAAACCTAACAACCCTAAATCTTACAGAGCAACACATCGACACTCTCTTTGTCCCGGCAAATTATTGCATCCGGTCACCGGACGAGCAGAATAGGACATGCCACATCACCTGCATTTTTGACTGCGCTTTAGGTGCGCTTTACATCTTTTAAGTTTAGCCACAATGTCCATCCTTGGGCACATTGCACCTTCACATCCATTATCTTGAGCTTAGCTTGACAAGTCGGGGACAAAGGGCAAATTATTGCATCCGGTCACCGGACGAGCAGAATAGGACATGCCACATCACCTGCATTTTTTACTGCACTTTGACTGCGCTTTATGTGCGCCTTAGGTGCGCTTTACTTGCATTTTTGACTGCGTTTTACCTACGCTTTTGACGCACTTAATTTAAAATAATATTTTATTAATATCTGGACCTATCTCCGCGTCCGGTGACCGGATGCAATAATTTGCCCTTTGTCCCCGACTTGTCAAGCTAAGCTCAAGATAATGGATGTGAAGGTGCAATGTGCCCAAGGATGGACATGTGGCTAAACTTAAAAGAGGATTAGTGTCATGGATGATTAATAAAAGGAAAATCATATTATAGGAGCTCATTCTATAGAATTCTCTTTAAGCTTCCAAAGAGAAACCAAGTTAAAATCATGCTAACTTCATACTAAGTTTTTTTATTAATTTGGCAATTTAATCCTTCTTTGCTTCTGAATCTAATATGAGATGGTCATTTTTCATAAATAGTGATAATTAAGTGCAAGAACTTCTTAATAGGAATTTAATTACTATCATGTAATTGCTTACTAATATGTTTAATGATTGTTGCGTGTTAGAAAATTTGTCGTGATAGAAATAGAGTTTTTACATCTTAGTTTTTCACAAATATCCAACACATACAAATAAAAAAAAAAAAAACAACAGATGCCAAAATTTTTAGATGGAAAGGCTGAAAAGGAAAAAAAATGCGATGTCTGGTCCAAATGAAATGGTACACTACATTGATAAGTTGCATGAGTCCATTATTCCCCTCAATTGGAGAAGACATGATCATAAGTTTATGTAAATGTGAAGGAGAATATTAGAGATGGAACAATTAAATGATTTTAGTCTGACGAATGTATTATAATAATCCAGTGACAGTGGTATATGATGACAATTGATAGAATATTGGATAATGACAATTGAGCGAAGGTGGTTAAATAATGGTGGTCAGACAATGACATTCATACAATAGTGAATAAATGATGACAATTGAACGATAATAATCAAGTGACAGTGGCAGATTATGGCAGTTAACTGATGGTAGTCAGACAATAGTAGTCGACAACGATGGTGGTTGATGATGATTATTGTTGTCGAACGTCAAATAAAGCTTTAGAGTTTTTCATATCTCCATTCTATTTCCAAACTCAAGTTTAAATCCCTATCATGTGGAGATTGGGGTCTATTAATAGTGCTTTGAGAGTGCATTTTAGTAATTTTAACTAAAATTTTATAACACTTTATTTGACGACTCATATTGAATCATAAAATCATAGATCCTTTGTACAACACTGCCGTTGCCAGGTCCCAAGTCCTGGATGAGAAAAGTGGAGGGTTGCGTTAGGTAGTCGACAGCCAGCGTAAAACTTGTCGACTACTATTAAGTTGCTTTATGGACCATATAATTAGAGATCCTTGGTACTCTTCAGATCATCTTGATTTATAGCCACTTGATTTTGATTTATAAATATACAAATTTCATAAACTTTGATTGGCGCCTCCCATTTAATATCATAAAGTTTTTCAATATATTTCATGATGTTTAATATTGAGTTCATTTGCGACTCAAATTAAATCACCTTGTGCCATCGGCATTTAAACCTATGGAAGACGTTTAATATTGATTATCATTTATTAAAAATATAGGCCTCATTTCAGAAAATATTAATGATCACCAATGGAATTATTTTGTTTTCTTTCTAAATCTAGAAATTACATGAGAATTTTTATAGTTAGCATACAGTAACAACATCACATAGAGCATTAAAATGAATTATATTATAAACATAATTCTATTTTTATTAAAATTCTGAAGCTTGAGTTATTGAAATTAAATATTTTATGTTATGTAAAATTTAAATTACAAGACAATTTGAATAAGCATAAGCATTTTTTTCAACTAGACATATTTACCTTATTATCAACTTTATTAATTATTTATGTATACTAATATTTTATTTAGTAATTTTTCTTACTTATTTTTTTAAGGTAATTTTTTTAATACTAAATTTTTGAAATAACTTTCTTATTGTTTTTTAAAGTAGATTCTTTACAAAAATTTTATTTTTCAAGAAAATTCCTATATAAAAAATTGCTTTAAAAAAAGTATATTAAAGAAATATATCCCAACATCAAGCGCTTAGGCTTCGTTTTTTGAGACGACTTTCTTTAACTGCTCTTGAAGCAGCTTTCTACGTAAAAAAGTTTAATTTTTTACTAAAACTATTCAAGAACAGTGAAGGCCTACAATGCAAGCAGTATGCAGCAACTCCCATAGCTTCCAGCCCATTAATTACACAAGCCATAATGCCCTTAGCAAGATTATTTCAGGTCTCAACAATCAGCACATTGTCTTTTGTGGAGAAAGATCTGAAAGGCTACTAAGCTCAGATTTGTCAATTAATATAATCCCATCAAAACTATTATGTTAATATAGAGACACATACAAAGATTCTTATTCAAGCTGCATGAAGAGCAAAAGAATTTCTTTAAGATGCCATGGGGGAAAGCTCTGAAAGAAGCTTACTAATCGTATATTTTCTCAGCTTTCCAACCTGCGGAATGGAGTTCTCATACTTTCCATTTTCTTCAGATATAAAGAGGACAAATCACCGTTGGAGCCATCTCAGTCAAAGTATCTAGAGTAGATGAGAGGATATTAATTCAGAGAATGGAAACTTGTACTTGTGGATACAAAAGTTCTAGAACCTTCTAATCCTTATTACTGAGTGTGGTTGGATCCTGAATGATACCTGGGAAGTTAGTTCCTTCTCCATTTGAGTTATAGGCTTTGATAGCAATATGCAGGACTTCAGGCATATGAAGGCCACTCCTTCCAGCTAACAGCTTGAGTGCAGAACAATTGCAACTTTAATTATCTGAGAACCTCCTCTTCTGCGGTAATCTTTCAAGGCTTGGATTCACTAATTCTGTAAGCTTCCTTCTTCATAACAGCCTCCCATGTCTGCAGGCGGTCTGCTATAGTTATAGTATAACATTATCCATTATGGTCAAATACTCTTTATTTGTTGTTAGAATGAGAAAAAAAAACAAGTCTATTCCCTCTTAAAAGGATTCTAGATAAACCAACTGAAGTACTATTATTACTAAGCATGATTATGATTCTTGTTTTAGAGTTAGAATTGGATAGAATAGATTAGGGACATGTACCCTGGATTTTACTCTCTTTTCAAGG